CCAGGAGCTGGCACCTAGTGGGCACTTAATGATTTTTGTGTTTAGACCTACTCTGACAACTTCTGTAAAACTTGCTCTAATTTATTTATATCCTATGATTTACTTGAGCCCTGTGATTCCCCCCCAACCTCCGCCAGCCCTGCTTGCCAGCAAAATGCCTCTTCATTTAAAGCCCCGTGATTTGGCCCTAGTGCCTCTGAAAACTGTGTCTTACGGAGAAATGTGGTTGGCATAGCGTCCCCGCCTGGCGCTTGGGGCCACAGCCCAGCTGCTGAGTCACCCACAAGCCCAGGCCTGCCCTCTGGGCCCCGGGAGGGACGTTTAACCAGACGGGAAGCAGTGGGGCCCGGCGGTGCAGAGACCGCCGCAGAGGGCGGTGCACGCACGAGGAGGCTCGGTCTGACCTTTCCTGGCCGCTCGTACGGGCACCGACGTGGAGCAGGAACTCAGGGAGTTTGGTACAGGTCTTGTGCGATGTGCTTTATGTTTCTAGCATGCTGGTGCTTTGAATCGAGCAAAGACACAAAACATTTCCTGCAGAGATCTGGGCCCCGGGCTAAAAATAAAAATAGTGTAGCACGTAGAGAAGGAGCGAGGCTGGGAAGGTGCTGTGCCCTCCGGCTAAGTGGGGTACCTGGCACGTGACGTACCCGGTGTAGGGGTCCTGAGGACCTCGGGAAGCCTGCCCTCACTCCCAGACGGGGTTCCAGCCCTCTGCGGGCTCCCTAGATCCCTCTGAGTCTCGCTGGTCCACATTCTGCTGAATGAGCAAACCTTCCAGAAGGGCTGTGTGAGGAACCCGCACCTGGAGTTGGACCCCAGCCCAGAACAAGACAGCAGTCTCTGCCCTTGGGGGCCCTCCATCCTGTGTGATGGTTCTCAGGGCAGAGCCATTTCAGGCCCAGTTTCCCTTTCTAGGGCATCTTCCTCCGATAATTTGGTGCTGGCAGCTGCCATGCACCACACTCAGCCCCCTGGGCACCCAAGCAGTGGTTCCCAGGTGGCCCTCGGGCAGCAGCACGCCCCGGTTGCACAGCGGGGGGGGTTCCTGAATAGGCGCCCCATGCCCCGAGGAGAAGAATATGAGGGTCCCTGTGGTGAGGACCAAGGGAGGAGAGACCAGACTGCAGAGCGGATGTGAGGCGAGGCCTCCACGGGCACCACAAAGCCCACCTGGCTCCCCGACCCCAGTGATGCTCTACAGGAGGAGTGGGGGGCAGGCTCCCCACGCACAGTCACTCCCCTCAGTGCAGCTTGTTGTCTGGAGGGGAGACGTGTCCCCAGTGGTAGGAGCAGGCCTTGTGGAGGGAGCCCCTTCCCCACCATCACTCTGTCTGTCCCCTTGCACCGCAGTGCTTTTCTCCGTGGTCCTGTGTCCCACAAGCGAGTGGACTAGTGGACGTGTGTACGTTTGTTGTCTGCCAGCAGGTGCCTGCTGCCCCCCGGGGGCCCCTGGTCAGGGCTGCCCTCGTCAGATGGGGCCACTGTCTCTTTCCAGCCCCAGCTGCTTCTGAAAAGAATTAGATGAACAAGCAGGACCCAACAGAAGAGGCTGATGGCCTGAGCGGGGGAGGTAGTGGGAGAACTGACTGTGAGTCCAGGCCTGGAGGGGGCCTGAGCTCAGCAGGGTGAGGGGAGCAGGTTGCCTGCTGAGCCGGGGGAGCTGGGAGAGCGGCCCTGGGGTGTCTGAGCAGGGCACCCTCGGCCTTGTGCTGCAGACGCTGTATTCTCCATGACTCCCTGTAGCGCCCTGGACTGGCCTGAGCACGGGGACCACACAGCCCAGCATGTGTGTGAGCGTGTGCACACGCGTGAGCACCCGTGTCCTTCCTGCACACACGGTGCTCCTCTTCCGGCGCCCGCTTCTGCTGCTTCCTCTCCTTTCCCTGCCGGCCTGTTTGTTCAGCCGAGGGCTTAACTGGCTGCGGTCAGCTTTGGAACTTGCCTCGGGCAGCATGCCAGGCGGTCTGGCTGGACCTCGTCCAGAGAGACCAGGGCCCCCGGGGCGCCCTCATTAGCCCTGTTCACAAGGTTGCTGGTGTCTCTTCTCATCTGTTCCACGGCAGACCCTGAGCCCGTGTTCGCCCACAGGGGTGCGCCTCCAGTGGCCTCCTGCAGAGCCTTAGTTCACTGACTGGTTGAGACTGAGTCATTGCAGGAGCCCACGGTGCACTAGGGGCTCGTCTAAGACTATGTGTGTTGACTCATTTATCGTCACAGCAGCCCCCTGGTGTTCATTATCCCCTCTGTGGCTGGGGCTGTCGGTGCTGTTTGAGGCCCACAGAGCCTCGCAGGGCAAGGGCAGCCTCTGCAGCCGGCGTCCCCCCGTTGGCTGGGCCTGAACGGGCGATGGAAGCCGTTCCCACCAGGACTGGCTGTAGAGTTTGTGTTCAGTGCCCCGCTGGCCGGGGTCCTGGAGATAGTGCAAGCTTACCTGCTGGGGGACTTGCCTCAGAGCCACGCAGGGCTGAGGTTTTAGCCTCGAGAGTTAGTGTACAATGTTCCACTTTTCCTGCTCGTTTGGGGAAGTCGATGCGCGTTTGGGAAGCACGTGTGGGGGCTGGTGTGTGGAGCTGGGTGACGGATGGCAGCAGGGAGGAGAGGGCGTGTTAATTTATTACTAATCTGCTGCAAATGCTACGGTGAGAACAGGCCTGGTGTCAAGTTGTCTGTAGTACGACTCCTTGCAACGCCCACGGTGCTGGGTGGAGCCTCACCAGAGGGTCTCATTCTCGGCTCAGCCTCGAGTTGTGGGGTGATGCCTCGCTCTACCGAACGGGGCTGCTCGTTGCCTGAGGTGCGGCCATGGGGCTGGAGGACAGGGGGAAAGGGCCTGCAGACCCTGCGGAGGCAGAGGGCCACCTTGCAAGGCACAGCATGCCCCAGGCCCCCCAGGCACAGGCGTCATTGGCACCCCTCGTTTCTCCCGGTTTCTGCAGCCCCTGCGCAGGAGAGGCAGCATCACTAGTGCCATCAGGTCTTTGCAGATGACAACTTCAGTTCCCGAATGTAAGGAATTTGCCTGATCCCCCTACAAGGAAAGGAATACAGTCCTAAAGCAAACTGCTCCCTGAGCGTTGCCACCGTGTGTCCAGGTGGCACACTCAGGGCTTGTGATCGCCGTGATGACCGGGAAAATGCAGAGGCCCCCATACTGGTCCTCACGGAGGCAGCAGGCTCTGATTGACAGTGACCTGAGAACACGCACCTCCTCCCAGCTGTGGCCCCAGCTGTCTCCAGCAAGCCTGCACACCCTGGGCGGTGCTGCGTGAATTTGTCTTTGCCCACACAGCCCTGGCCCAGTAGTGAACGTGGCCTCACTGCCCCGTTGTGTCCGCAGACATATCTGGGAAGCTGAGGATCTGGGATACCACGCAGAAGGAGCACCTCTTGAAGTATGAGTATCAGCCTTTCGCTGGGAAGATCAAGGACATTGCTTGGACGGAAGACAGTAAGAGGATCGCAGTGGTCGGGGAAGGAAGGGAGAAGTGAGTCTCTGGCCCGGCCCCTCCTGCCCTGTCCCTTGCTTTGCTTTGTTTCCTGGGCGCCCCTGGTGGGTAGGGCGCAGTGACATCAGTGTGGCTTGGTCTGGTGTGTGTTCATCCTGTGGGAACCGGGTCTCCTTTAGGGCTGGCCTCAGCACCGCGTGACGGAAAACCACGTGTAAGAGCAGAGAGCCCCAGGATTTGTCCCTGGCCCAGGCACCTTCTCTTATCTGATATCCTTGGCCCTTTGCCTCCTAGAACCCCAGCTGGCGTGCCCACATTCCAGGCAGCAGGAAAGGGGGAGCTGAAAGTGATGCGGCTTCTAAGCAATATTGGGGTCCCTCCCAGCAGGTGCCCGGGGGGGCTGGTGTGTTCCTTAGCTGGGCACAGCCCTACAGTCACCTCACTAAGGAGCGGGGCACATGGACCCTGGGTAGGGGCCGTAGCGGGCTGCTGCACTTGGGTCCAGGGACCAGCAGGGTCAGTACCGTGGCCCAGGGTTCCTTATTCCAAGTGCAGTCAGGGTCCCTCCCTGGCACCTCTGCTGCCATCAAGCACTTGAACTTGGTAGGAACTTATTCAGAGGATCCTAATGTGTGTTCTGATCAGTACTAATTCTTCCATAGTTTTTCAAGTCATTCCTGTTGATCCTAATTCCTGTTTCATTCAGTTACAAAGAGTAACCAAAACAATACATTTTCATTGACTGCCAGCCGAGAACAAGGCAGCGTCTCCTTTCTAGTAGGGAAGGGTAACTGTGTGTTTCCTTGTGCACCCCACCCCCCTGCCAGTAAAACTGTTGTGAAACTGACAAAGCCCTAGAGCTGTTCCCTGGCAGGTGCTTTTAAGGCACCTTCACGTGGGAGGCTCACTGGGTCTGGACCTAAGACACAGACGTCTAGTCCCTTCCCAGAAGCACTTGGGATGGCTCCTGTTTGTTAGAAAATCCTGCGCACTTGGGGCAGCGTGCACGGAGCACGGATGTGAGCAGGGCTGCGCTGCCAGCACCACTGCCTGCGTCTTAGTGACCTTCCTGGGACTGATTTTTTCTTTCCTGTGACTCTTCTCATTGCGTGAAGGTTCGGAGCCGTCTTCCTGTGGGACAGTGGCTCTTCCGTGGGCGAGATCACAGGACACAACAAAGTCATCAACAGCGTGGACATCAAGCAGAGCCGGCCGTACCGCCTGGTGACTGGCAGCGATGACAACTGTGCCGCGTTCTTTGAGGGGCCACCATTCAAGTTCAAGTTCACAATTGGCGTAAGTGGGCTTCTCTCTGTAGGGTGGTTTTTGGGTGGATTTTGTGGTTTACCTGAAGCCGGCGGAGTCTAGACCTGTTAGATGCTGATGGCAGAAGGTCCCAACTGCACACCGTCAATCCTGGGATGGCTGGGTAGGTGGCTAGGGGTGGTGGCGCATCTCTGACATCGGGTGACTGGGTAAGCGTCCTGGTCTGGAAGTGCCTTGTTAGAAAGGGGAGCCCAGGCCACGTAACAGTCTGCCTTCTGATTGTACCAGCTTGAGATCCCCTGAGCCACCAAAATGTCAGAGGAGGTGAGTTTCCAGGGATATCTGTATCTGCCCCTCTGGTACCTCCCTGAGAGAGGTGATGAGGGCAGGTGACACCTGTGAAGTGACACACAGTGAGGAGAGTTAGCCGCTTTGCCTGGAGAGTCACAGGCTTTGGGTGTAAATGGCTTTGGGGTCTCAGTGCCAGCTCTGCACATGCTTCCTGACTGGGACAAGGTTCTGAACCTCTCTACGCCTCACTTTTCCCATCTGCATGATGGGTGTGGGGATATGGGCAGGAGAGCAATGTAACCATGAATTTGAGCTATGCATAGCACCTGCAGGTCCACGGTAGCCCACGATGCTGGTTTCCTGCCCCGTGGTCTGAGGCTAGCGTGTGGAAGGGAGGGTACCTGGAAGGGGACAGCCGGCACTCGAGTCCCAGGGTGGCTGTGGTTCCGAACCTCCCCCTCCCGATTCTCTTGTGAAAACACCAGAGAGGCAGCCAGTACCGGTGGCTGTGTGGAGAGCATGTGGTGCTTTACGGCCGGCTGTGTGCCCTGGAGGTGGCTGAGCTGGGATTTGCCGAGGTCTGGGGCCTTGTCCCAGGAACGTTAGTGGCTCACTGAGTGAGAAGCCTTGTTAACTTTGATGACAACACAGTGAATCATAAGCAGTGGGCAAGGTGTGGCCGGAAAGGCAGTGGCAGTCCTCAGCGGTTCCCCAGAGAGCAGGACTCGGCTGTGGGCAGCTCTTCCAGACAGATCTCCTCGGCTCAGGTGCAGAGGAGCTCCCCAGGTTCTCTACTGGTGATGAAACAGGTTTGATTTCCTCCAGGGGCCACCCAGCAGGGCCGGTGGGCGGTGCAGCCCGGAGCCCCTCCCTAGTGCCCTGCACCTCCCTCCCGGAGGCGGGCTCCTAGGGCTGCTGCTCTGGGTGGGTGGTGGCACTCTGTGGGAGGCGTGGTTCAAGGTCAGCCTTTTCCTAAGCAGGATGAGGTACTGTGAGTAATGCTGAGTCAAGTGTGGGCATCCTGCGCTGGGCCCAGGGGAGGGAGGAGGGAGACGGCGGTTTCTGTGGCAGCAAGAGACTGTCCTAGTCCCTCTCCCCATCTCCCTCTCCCTGTGCCCCTTCCCCTCCCCCACCTCACCCCAGGTCTGTTTGGTTCCTCTTGGCTGTTATCTGGGCTCTGGGTGGGCGGGGCTCCATTTCCTGCCCTGAGAGCAAGGAGGGATCATTTCCTCTTCGCTGGTATGGATTAAACCCAGCACAGAGCGCCTCAGTGGCAGGTGACTGGAGCCAGGACTCAAGTCCGGAGTTGGCCCGGACCTGTGCTCTACCACCCTGCCAGTCTTCTCTGGGGGCTGACTCGGGGACTTGGCTAGAAGGTTCCTTTTCTTTCCATTTTTCTTTCTAACCTGAGAACACTGCCCCTACCCTGCGGCCCCGGCCCAAGTGTGTCACGTAGAGACGCTGGCCTGGCTGGCACCTGTCTCGAGGATGGGCACACAGCTCATCCTGAAGTCTTCCAGGGTAGGGACCCAGCAGAGATCAGGGGCTGTGGACTGAGAATGGGGGACGTGGGTGACAGGCCAGCGCTGTAGCTGGCTGGCTGTGCAGCCCTCAGGCTGGTTGTGCCTCTGGGCCCCCAGGGAAACAGGGTGGGGATGGCCCTCCCCCACTGGACCGCAGAGTTGTGGGGAAGACGGAGAGATGCTGGTGGATGTCTGAGCAGCTGTGAGGCGTTGCCGAACATCTTTGAAAGATTCCAACAGGCTCAGTTGGCCTGGAGTAGGAAGGACAGGAGGGCCCCCCACACCCACCTGTAGCACCTTGTAAGATGAGATTGGCCTTTTCCTTATGCATCTGCACGGCCCTCACCACCCCAGAGCAAGGCTGTAATGTGCAGGGTCCCCATCCACCCAGTTCCAGCTTCTGCCACCATCCTCTGGGCCACATTTAGGGCTGTAGAGGGAGGGGTAAGCAAGTGAGCAGCACAGAGGAGTCGAGTTCAAGTTGCTGCCTCAAAAAAGGAGTTAGTCGTGTTCCAAATTTCAGTACCTGCCAGAGCAGCTGTAAGGCGGCTCGGACCAGGCAGGAGGGCAGCAGTGTCTCAGATGCAGACGGGACTGGCCGCCGTCCCCCTGCTGGCCTGAGTAGGGGGGTCTCGGTGCTTTTCCTTCTTGTTCATCAGTTTGTTGGTTCAAACCAGCTTCTCGTGTTGGCAGAGCGAGAGTGTAGACAAGGCTTAGTCATGCCCAATTTCAGCTGTACCATCCCGGTTCCTGCCCAGGCCCCTGATCTGGCATTAGTCCTAGTTTGCCTGAACTAGAAATGGGCTGAGAGGCTGTAGGAACTGTGGGCAGAATAGGCCCCGTCCCCCCTGGGAAGTGACCCCAGGGTCACAGGAGACCGGCTGTGCCCAGGAGTTTAGGTTGCCCTTTGAGGCCCTAAGGGTGGCCTGAAAAGAAGGGGGCAGGAGGGACCTTGCCTATTTCTGCCTCTCCTATGGGGGTTTCTTCCTGCCCAGCACACCCCTGTGGCGGCACCTGGAGGTGTGATGACGGCCCCGCTGAGCGTCTCCCACTCACCTGCCCGTGTGCACCTGGGCCGCTATGGCCTCGGGCGGACTTCTCTGCCTCTTAGGCGTCTGCTTCCTCCTCTGTCGGGTGAGCATGTCGGCTGCTCCTATGACCGGGGACACTGCTCCCATAGTGAGCACCTCTGAGGGCTGTGTCCACGGTCCACGGGATAGCGCGTGTCTGATGGGATGATTGCTCAGAGCAGCAAGCGTCAGGGCCTCATTCACCCGGACCTGCATGTCGAGCTGCAGCGTCTGCCCAGGCCTCTGAGGGCAAGCGAGCGCACCTGGCCGCAGAGGGGCCTCCGGGTCTTCCCTCTGCCCAGGGGCACCGCGCGGCGCCCTCGTGCCTCACTCATCGCTGTGGCTCTGCATGGTGGAGGTGAGCACAGCTTGGAAGTTACTGGAAGTATCACCCACTCAGACAGTTAAGCAGAACTTGAGCTCTAATGTGCAAGGTTTTCTAGTGGTTGTTTTTCCCTTTGTCCTGTGTCTTTATTCATGACTGAAAGCAGAAGTTGGAGTTCAAGTGTGTATCAGGTGCCCGCCTTGTACTGGCCCTGGGCTGGGCACACAGATGGCTTGGCGTCATCCTTAGCCACCTTTCCCCCTTGTGTTGGCTTTCAGAGAGTGGTGTGTGCGTTAGTGATCGATGGCCGTGCCGGGAGGTCGGCAGGGCGGGTCTGCTCCCCTCTGCCCCTCATCTCCCCGGTATCCCCCTGAGCTGACAGCCAAGCTGACGTGGACAGTCAGTGGCCAAAGGAGGGTTAGAATGAACCTTTTATCCCTTCATCAGGTCCTCTCTCTGCAGAGGAAAGTGGTAACTGGGCAGATCTGTCCAGGGTGACGGGAGGAGGGGGTGTGGTTCTTGAAGGGCGAGGAGTGCGGGGCTGCTCCCCAGGCACTTTACAGGAAGGTTTCTCGGAGTGCGGAGGAGCAGGGTTTGGGCAGGGGCAGTGGACTGAAGCAGGGAGGGGCAGCATTTCAGGGCAGGGTGGAAACCCAGTTTCAGGGTGCTGACCGTGGAGGGAGGGAGGGGGCAGTGGTCATGGTCATCTGAACCGTGTGTCCCTCCACGAGCCTGTGACGAGGGAACGAGGCAGGTAGGCACAGGGCGTCCAGGCTGAGGGTAGCCATCATACAGGCAGGACACAGCTGAGGCTGCTGGAACCAGGGAGGGCTCCCAGGGGACACCTGAGCTGACCCGCTGGTCAGGCCCTGGAGCCCAGTGGCGCTCTGTCCCTGTCAGTGACGTGGACCCTGGTGCATTACCTACTTATTAGCTAATTGTTCCCAGCTCCGATTTCTCAGTGGTGGGGGGAGGGAGGGGGGGCAGTGATGGTGTGGGGAGCGGGGAATGATGGGAAGTAATGCCAGGATTGGGGAGGTAACGATGTGGGGGATGGGTAATAACAGGGTGTGGGGAGGTAATGACAGTGGGGAGGTTCCGGGCAGATCCACTAGCACAGTCCCGCCAGCGCTGCGGTGTGTTGGAGGGGACCAGGCACCCGGGCCCTTCACCCCAGGGGGTGGCCAGAGCCTTTCTAGGGTGGAAGGGAGAGAGGGAAGGATAGGGACTCAATCGTCCAAAGCGCCCATGATGTTCCCCCACACCCAGTCCTCTTCTGTACTCTGGCCTCACCTCCCTGCAGTGTGGGCTATTTTTAGCCCACACTTTTTTGGTTAATGGGCTGCTCACTGTTCCTCCCTTTAAATGGGCTATTTCAGGACCAAACATCAGTCTCCTGTCCATTTGGGCTCTTGGCTTGAGTTGCAGGAAAAGCGGACCAGGAAGACTTTCTGAAGCCACAGCGCCCAGTCCCCGGGGGGGCCTGTGCCCTGTCCGGTCTGCACCCAGTGGGAAGATGGACAGATGGTGTCCACATGTGTGATGTCCCTGAAGCATCAGAGCTGAGAGGGGCAGGCAGTCGGGGAAGGGGAGGGGCAGCAGCACCGACGGGTACTCCGACCTCTGAGCTGGGCTGTGTGGGGGGTGCTCCTGCTCTCCTCTCGGGGACCAGAGAAACAGGAGTTTGGCAAATGAGAATTGCACGGTGGCTGGGTGTCCCTCTGGTTCCCAGTGTATCCTCATGCCCAGTAAAGAGCAGTCACCCCCCACTGACACACCCCATCGCCCCCATTTGGCCCTGAGGTCTGCTCCACTGCTGTGAGCTCTCGGCATCCTGGTTCTTGGGGGAAAGTCTGGCCGGGTCTCCATCAGTCTCAGGCACCAGGGTGGGGAGCTGGTCCCAGCCCCCTCCCGCGTCCACCTCACAGTGGAGGAAACTGGAACCAGGGACGGTGAGCCAGCAGAGGTCAGACACGAGAGGACCAGACATTTGGGCAGATGTCCAGGATTGCGACTGTGGTTTTGTCACTGAAGAGCTTTTCCTTTGAGCTCATCCAGAACGAGTTGTTCCTGCCTGCCTGTCCTCCCCGCGGGGCAGTTCTGGGAGGACTGAGAGAAGCCTGGGGGGCTTGGCCCCAGAAATCCTCCTACCACTGGGTCTGAACCAGCCCGGGGCTGACAGGGACAGAGGGACGTGGGCCTCGATGTGCAGCTGGCTCCCTTACAGGTGTAGGGACAGCAGAGCAGTGGCACTCGGCCTGAAGAGTTAAGGATCTGACCTCTGGGTGGCTCCTCGCCCGGCCTGCCTGCCTTCTGTCCAGGGCCCAGAGCCAGCACGGTGGGGTCCAGAGCTCTTGACGAGAAACTGGAGACCTGTGTTCTCACAACCCAGCCTCTCTGGGCCTTGTTGTCTCCTGAATTTAAAAAAAAAGAAAGGGGGCCCCTGGAGGTGGGAGGATGACAGGTGAGTGACAGTCACGGAGGAACAACAGTCAGAGGGCCTGACGGATTCCTGCTGGGAAAGTTGATTCATCTTCACTTTCATTCATTTTGGCGGTTTGCGTGCCTGCTGGGAAGCAGTTGTCTCCCAGCTCAGAACACAAGCCTCGGAGCAGGAAAGGTGGGCCTGAGAAGCAGACTGAGCAGACACAGGACACTAAGAAGGCAAAACTGGCCGTTCGTGGCCGTGGGAGCGTCACCCAGTCAGTCTCTGCCTCCATCTTCACGTGGTGTCTCCCTGTGTCTGCAGCGAGTCCACGTCTCCCTCTCCCCAGAAGGACACCAGGGTGTTGGCTTAGGGCCCACCCTGAGGAGCTCATCTTAACTTGACTGCGTGTGCAGAGACCCTCTTTCCCGTAAGGTCACATCACAGGTACCTGGGGTTTCAGCCTATTTCTTCAGGACACAGCTCAGCCCATCACATGATCAAACACACGCCGTCCCTTCCACGCCAGCAGCTCGCAGTTTAAAATTGCCAGGGATTTGTTTGGAGGGTCGATGGGGGCAGGTGATGCGTTGAGTCGAGTTGCCTTTCTTGCAGGTGTGTGTTCGTATCCTTAGAGGCAACTAACCCCGTGCACGGAGGAGAGTTGGTAACTAACGCTCAGCGTGTGCTTGCAGCTGAGGAGGGAGAAGGGCTGGGGTCCTGTGGGTGGCTTACGGGTTTTTCAAAGGGTCATTCTCTGAGGCAAACCCTTCTTGACTGAGGAAAGAGTGAGGTCATTTGCTTACTTGGATGACAGAATCGCTCCTGGAGGCCATGTCTCCTGAGTCACTCAGACTCTTCCCATGAAGGTCATAACTGCTGTTTAACTTCTTTACAAACCTCAGTTGGTTCAGCAAATGCCCACCAAATGCCTGCTGTGTGCTGGGTTGGGGCCAGGCCCTAGGGGCTCGGGGAAGAGCCTCCTGTTCCCAGCCTCACTAAGCAGAGGAAGTTTGGGCTTGAGCTCCTCTGGGGCCGGAGGGAGGTGGGCCATTTCTGTCTGCAGAGATCAGGGGGCCCGCCACAGCGGAGGGAGGCCCCCCCAGGCAGAGATGCGCCTGGCCAAGGTGGGCAGGCTGGGTCGGACCTCCCAGCGAGTCTGCTTAGCACTTGTGTTAATAAGCTCCAAAGCCTCCCGGGGACTGGTGGTCCGCACTAATGGTGGGCATGGGCTGCATACTTCACGGAGAGCCTTGCTGAACTTGCCTGTCGACGGTGGGTAACTGTCTCGTTTCCTGCAGGACCACAGCCGCTTCGTCAACTGCGTGCGATTCTCCCCCGACGGGAACAGATTTGCCACAGCCAGCGCTGACGGCCAGGTGAGGGCTGAGGGCCGTGGAGGTGGGGGTTCATCTCGTGTCCTCTGTGAGTTCAGAGCAGATGGACTTAGGAAACTGGTCTCAATGTGCAGAACTTAGAAGTCTCCCTCTTTCCCCCCCATCTCGGGATGCAGCTCCATTGAGGAGCTGTGTCATCAAAGCATGGTAGATCCTTTTAAAGGAGCTCAAAACTCATCTTTTAACACTAATTTACATTAAATCTTTATTGTAAGAGTCACAGTCCCCAACTCTTGATGATGGAGCAGTTATTAATAGGGAGAGCTCAGTGAGCGTGCTGACAGCCGAGAGCGATCACATGTCCCCGTGACCCACGTGTATCTGTATTTCTTGAAAGATCTACATCTACGACGGAAAGACGGGAGAGAAGGTGTGCGCGCTGGGAGGAAGCAAGGCTCACGACGGCGGCATCTATGCCGTACGTATGGGTTTGTGTCTGTGGGGTCCTCTGGTGTGATCGGGCCTGTCTGCCATCATCCGTACATGGGTTGAAGTTGGAAGCTTGCGACGCGGGGTTGGAAGTAGGGGCAGTGGTGGAGTGCTGGTAGGCCACATGGAACAGGGTGATGTGGCCTGGAGAGGCCAGTGGCCAGGACCCTCTTCTTGTCCTTGCCCTGGCGTATTCCATCACCTCCTGGTTCTCCCCGCTCAGAAAGGGGATCTGTGGACCAGCTGCTTTCTGAGGTCTCTTCCCCCAACAGTGCTCTGACCTGATCACCATTTTGTTTGAGTAGATCAGCTGGAGTCCTGATGGCTCCCACTTGCTTTCTGCTTCTGGAGACAAAACCTCTAAAATTTGGGACGTCAGTATGAACTCTGTCGTCAACACGTTTACCATGGGCTCCAACGTTCTGGACCAGCAGCTGGGCTGCTTATGGCAGAAGGACCACCTCCTCAGCATCTCCTTGTCTGGCTACATCAACTACCTGGACAAAAACAACCCCAGCAAACCCCTGCGGGTCATCAAGGTGAGGCCATTCCCAGGAGCGGCTCTGCCGGCAGGTCCTGGCCGGGAGGGAAGTGTGCGCCCCATTGTGGAGAAGGGGCTCCGCCCTGGGGGTCTTGGGAACAGCAGGATGCTGGTTGCTTTGGGGATGTGAGTTTAGCAGAGGTGGGAGGCCAGATGCCAAGTTCCCCCGGAGCTGCTGTAAAGCTGGTGTTCAGGGCCTGAGGTCCAGGGCAGTGGCCCTCGCCCCTGCTGTCAGGGTCGTTTGTCCCTAGGAGGTCTGCCTCCCTCAGCTGGGAGTTCACCAGCTCCGTCCACGCTGGTGAGGCAGGACCGGGAACAGACTGAGTCCCAGGACAGGGGCAGGTGGTGGGGCATCGCCACAGACGTGGGGGTCCAGCAGGCCTCGGAGCTGGACCTTGACAATGTGTGGGATTGGAATGTGGGAATGAGTGTGAGGCCCTTGTGCTGTGTGGTTAGAGCAGGTAAGGCATGAGGGGGTGGTGGGGAGTGGAAGGAAATGAACTTGGAGAAGTAGGTGGAGCTTGAGGGTGACCCTGACTAAGGATTCTGAGCTGTGCTCTCAAGGGGGGTCTTTCCACAGCAGAGCTGCATGTCATCCCCTCCCCGCCATGAGCCCTCTCAGGCCAGACCTGCAGCCCTGCTCACTCAGCTGCTTCAGGGCTGTGCGGACAGGCTCCGGAGGGTGTCTGGGCTTTGTAGGGTTTGTGTAGGCCAGGGGCTGGGACAATTGCCCTGGGAGGAAGAGGCCGAGCCAGGCCTCAGCCTCCTTAACTCTGTGTGACTGGCTCACAAGGTCCAGCGGGGCCTGGTGCCTGCCGCGTCCTGTCGAGGTGGGGTGCTGCTGACGGGGTGGGGGGCGGTCCAGTACAGGAGCCACACTGGCCCTCAGTGCCCGTCCTGCACCTCCGCTCCCATGAAGGTTCACTTGATTTGGCCCTGAGGATGGGGGCGTGGGGACCACCTACCGGACAGACTGCCAGCCCAGTGTGATGAGGATAAAGTGGAGGTGTGTGCATCCTGGCACAGAGCTGGCGGAGCTGGGAGGGGTCCCCTGGACAGTCGCTTCACTGGGCCTCCATGCGATGGAGGAAGATTCCTCTAGAGATTCAGGCATTGCTGTCAGCCCATTCTGTCTTTCTACGAAAGCAGCTTCCCATGGGCCTCTCCGACAGTGGGCCTGGTGGCCGTCCGACGTGGAGCCCGGATTGTTGGCACCCGGACTGGAGCCACCCTGGGAGCGAGGGAGGCCTGGGCCTGACCACTCACTGCTGCCAGTGGCATGGGCACTGCTGGCCAGGCTCCGGTTCCTTCCCCAGGTCATCTCAGGACCCCCGTGGGCGTTCGCAGTTGTCAGAGAAACCCTTCCCAGCTCTCCTGCCGCGTGCACGTGAATCCTCGGGTGTTTGGTGCTGAGGTCGGCAGTGCGTGAGCCCAGGCACAGGCTGGGGTTGGAATAGCAGTTCCTGGCCCTGGCACGTGTTCAGACCAGTAGGGAGCTTCCAAAACAGGCTTGCTGCCTGGCCGGCCCCAGCAGGATCCCATCAGAGCCTGCCGGGAGGGCTCTTAGAGGCTGGTACTTGTAAGAGTCTCCCAGGTGATTCTGGCTCAAGCCTGTGGGTGCATCAGAATCACGTGAGAGGGCCCGCTTGTTAGAAGATGGCAGCTGGGCTGGGCCCCTGTACTCAGAGGGCTCACCTGTGGGATGTGCAAGAGCTCGCATTTCTCACAAGTTCCAGGTGAGGCTGCCGCCCCAGGCAGGGGGCGTGCACAAGTCACCAGGCTGCTTGTTGAGAGCAGTTCTGAGTCCCCGGGCTGTGAGGGACAAGACTCTAGATGGGATCGACGCTGCTCTGAGGACCCGGCTCTAAGTAGCAGGGCTGGTGCATTGCTGTCCCATGGAAGGGACTTTGGGTCCATTTACTGGTTCTCCAGTCTCTGAGAACTGCGTGACCTTTCTCGGAAGACACATGCTGGAGTCGCGAGCTGTGCTTCTGGGTAGAGGACAAGCCGTGAGCCGCTCCTAGTACTCCGGCCCCCGGGGCCCAGAGGCTCCCCACCGCCGCCGCCTCCCGCCAGCACCCGGGCACCACTGCTTCACCGCTGTCGAGGGTCAGCCCTGGGTGGGGCGCTTCCTCCGCGGGTGTGAGCAGCATTGCCTTCTAGGGCGGAGCTGCCTGGGTCAGGCTGCGCAGGCTGGACGCTCTGCTGCTGGGGCTTCAGTTAGTGTCCCCACCCGGGTTGGGGTTGAGTGCCTCGGAGGGAAGGGTCCGAATGTCACTGGTTTGTCAGGTGGTCAGTCAGCTCAGGAGGCTGGTGGGCGGTGTTTCAGGCCCACTGGGGCTGCGGCATTGAGGGCCTCTCCCTCCCCCTCACCCAGGGGAGAGCGGTTGACAGTCACAGGCAGGATGGCGTGTCCTCAGCTCACCCGCCCGTCTGTCTCCTCCATAGGGTCACAGCAAATCCATCCAGTGCCTGACGGTGCATAAAAACGGCGGCAAGTCGTATATCTACTCTGGGAGCCACGACGGACACATTAATATCCTTTGACTCACAGGGCTGGCTCCCGGGCCCCTGGCAGGAGAGGCGGGAGTTTCCTGTTCCCACGGTGCCAGAAGCGAGGCCAGCCAGGTGGCGACAGGACTCCTGCCCAGTCCTGGCTGCTGAGAGGTGCCGCCAGGCCCACACACGGGGCCTCCAGCTCTGGGCCCTGACCTTGACCTGATGGGTCACTTGTGCGGCCAAGCTTCCCTGAACTGGAGCTGCCTCTCCCCGCGCGGGGCCTGCTGCCGGCCTCGCCCCTCTCACAAGCAGCAGAATCAATGTGTTAAAATCCAATGGACTTAGAGCCTTTTGGTAGAGTCCCCTTGTTTTAAAAATGGGCAAAGTGAAACTCAGATGGCTAGGGCACCTTCGCCAACATCGCACCTCCTGGCGGCAGCAGATCTGTGTGGAACTGAGCTTCCCTTCCCTGTGAGGTGCTGTTTGGTCCCTCTGTAATGTCTCCTGGCACCCCTACAACCAACCCCGTTCTGGCGTTGGAGGCCTGGAGCCAGTGACTCCTCCTCCCAGGATGGCAAGCGATGGAGCAGTTGTCTGAGGGGCTAGCCTCAGCGGGGCCTTGTGGCTGCTTGGTTCTGCCGTCCCCCAAGGAGGGGCACTGGTGCTGCCTGAGGGGCCTGCCCTCCCTCGTCAGCCTGGTTCCTGGTCTGTCCCAAACCCCGGACTTCTCCCACCTCCGCAGCCCTGCCTTGTCTCTGCAGGGCTTCCTCACTGGGAAGGCCTCCCCTCAACCCCAAGGGAGGAGGGCAGACAAGTCACCGTCCACCCCTTCAGGTGTAAGGAGATGGAGGGACAGCAGGGGCATCTTGCCCAAGCCTGCACTATAGTTGGGCACAGGAGGCACTGGAGCAGCGTGCAGGCCTCCCCAGTCCTGCCGCCCTCAGCTGCCCCAGTGCCGGTCCCCACTTGACACCGCCCCCTTGTGCCCAACCCCGATGTCAGCGCACTGTGGCATTAACCTCCTATAGCACCGAGCTGGGCCTTCCCTTGAGAATGTGTTAGCAGTGGAACATGCACATAGCTTCCTAGGTGGACAGTCTGCACTGGAAATGAGTCATCGACTATTGGTGTAAAAGGAAAGTCTCGTAACGTACAGCCCACCTCACCGGAGTGCCCCGCGCCAGCAGCCCCCAATCTGGCCTGCCCAGGTGGGTCAGCCCAGGGCCATCTACCTGGTGGCACAGCCATGGGCTGGATCGCAGGCTAGAAAGAGCAGGGGAAGCGTGGGCTCAGTTACACGGGGCCCCAGGGGACAGCAGCTTCCTGCTGAGCCCCATCTCAGACAGAGCTGAGTCCGTCATCACAGTCCTCACAGTCCTGTGACCTCCTGGGTCCTGTTCTGTAGATGAGCGGGCTGAGTGGGCACGCTGGGTTATAAGAAGCCTGCTGACATGTGTTAGGCCTTCTTGCTGGTTTACCAGAAGGTCGGCTCTCTGAAATTTGGACCCGGACGTCCTCAAGCCATCCCCCTCAAGCCCAGTGCCCAGTCCCTGTCCCTAATGTGCTGCCTGGGACGTGGCACTGGCCCTGGCCTCCCCAGGGGACAAGCACTGCCTCTTGGAGGCCGGACTCTTCCTTAACCCTCCGCCCCACATTACTGGGATTCGGAGACAGGGGAGAATGACTCCTTCGCCGGGAAGGGCCACACGAACCAGGTGTCCAGGATGACGGTGGACGAGTCCGGGCAGCTGGTGAGCTGCAGCATGGATGACACGGTGCGGTACACCAGCCTCACACTGCGGGACTACAGGTGAGAGCTGCCCGGGGTCCGGATGCGCCTCAGCCCCATGGGACCCTTGGCCTGTAGCCCTTACTGCCAGTGACGGTGTTCTCTGCTCCGCGCACCTCTTGCCCTGAGCACTCGCTCTCCTAATGCAAGGCCCTCGGCCGGGAGCCCGGTCAGAGTCCAGGCGGCCCGCACAGACCTCAGCCACATGCAGGGTTCCTGGGATGCCGGCTAGAACGGGACAGGCCTGGTCTCACCGTGAGCTCCATCCTCGCTCTGTCCTGTGTGTAGACCCCCGTGTCCTGCTGGACATCTCACTGGACACGGCTCCTGGAGGACATCTCGGGCACGGTCACACCAGCATGTCCATGCGCCTCACCTGTCCTGGGCAGACTAGGCGTTGAGAGTCAGACAAACCTCCCTGTGAGTGCAGAAGCCACCCCAGGACCCAGGTGTCCAGGCCCTGGTGTCCTCTCCGTGCTGCCTGTAGTGAGCCCCCGGCGTTAGCACATTCCTCGTGTAGTCCTGCCCAGGGGCCGTGCCACCATCCTGAGCCTCAGCTGATGAGAGGACCCAGGGCAAAGCCACGCCTGATCACTTTGTCACAGGGCCCATTCACTGAGCCTCAGGGACTCCACACGTGGCCCAGTTATGTGAAATTTTTCTCAGTTTACCATTTTCAAATTTTTCCATGTACAGATTTTTCTAGGATGCATTCATAGTTTTAGCCAAAAGTAAAGATAACAGTTTTTACACATAAAAAATACAGGGTTTACTTTTTAATTACTCTGCGGAGGAGACTGGTTATTCCACAGGAGTCGGGGGAGGGGCAGAACCCAATTCTGCCTGTACCCAGAGAATGCTGAGGGGTCTGGCTGACACACGTGGGGACAAAAGCCATGACAGGGCAGTGATGAAGTGGGCCCTTGTCACTGATGAGCGGAACAGAAAGTACTCCCTTGACTTCTCCCCTCCCCTTCCCATCATCACAGCCCCTTCGTGACTCCTCTTCTCTCTCCCAGAGTCTGAGTCATTTCTTACCCCTCCCGTGCTTTAGCCAGGGCTCCCTCAGGAGAGATCGCAGTGGAATTTCCTTCTCAGTCACCCAGATTGCCGTGGTTCTGCAGTGAGTGTTTACACCCACACTGCCCACGCTGAGACTGAAGTAACGACTTCCCTTCTCTCTGCAGTGGACAGGGAGTTGTGAAGCTGGACGTCCAGCCGAAGTGTGTGGCCGTCGGCCCCGGGGGCTACGCCGTGGTCGTGTGCATCGGGCAGGTACTGCTCCTGCTGGGGTTTGGCTGGAGGAAGAGGTGGGAGAGCAGGTCCGAGCTGCATTTGTCTGGTCCCCACTTCCCTCTCACCCCCTTTAACCCCATTTCTACTGAGCCCTGCTTGCACCAGACTGTGGGCTTCATGGGGATTCACCAAGCATGGACAGTCCTGTCAGTTAGGCACGGCGCCGTCCCCGTCTTACTAGGGAGGAAACCAAGGCTCAGAGGCTGAGCTGCCCAGGGTCTGCGTCCAGCAAAGGCAGAGCTGGGATTTGAAGCTGGGTCAGGGTCCACACTCGAGCTGCATGTCCACCACCCAGGAGGCCCACGAGAGGCACAGCCAGGGTGGCCCTGCTGTCTCTCGTGTTCAGATCCGAGCCCTGCAGCCTGTGAGCTGTGTGACCTCAGGCATTTTCCTCACCCTCTCTGAGCTTGTGTCCTCATCCCTTGCAGCTCCCGGGGAGGATTAGGAGAAAGTACGTTTTGGGCGACTTGAACCGTCTTCACAAGCAAGCGGGCTGAGGCTTAGTGTGACCGTGACTTCGTGAGGCCACGTGATGGCTGGGGAGGGTAGCACCCAGAATAGGGCTCGGGGTTCCAGCTTTGCAGCCTGGTTCTCATTCAAGGCAGTAAGGTCTCTACACCCATCTCTTGGAATTTCTGGGACAGATCGCCCTTGACTGAGACCCCAGCCTGACCCACTTTACACAAGACTGTGCTCCATTGTGAACACCGTCTGTCAGCAGACCTGGGCGCCCCAGCGTGCAGATCAGAGAAGGCAGGTGTGACAGAGCCCCCGTTGGCACGAGTGGCAAACCTGCCACAGAGAGCTGTCACCCGGATCCGCCACCCCTCCTCCGTTCTCTGAACTTAATTGCTTCGGGGAAAAAGGATTCCTGTGTGTCCTAGATAACACCAACTTCCTGCCAAGCAATTACTGCTGACAGCCTTGATGGTCAGTGGGGGTACAAAAGGAATCAATCAGCAGCCCGGAGCATCCTAGCCGGTGGAGGAGAGACTGAAAGTTGACCTTCTAGAAGGGCAGGCAGAGTGGGCTGCAGCTCCGTGAAGTGGGCGCTCTCAGCCTGGTATCTGAGCACCTGGCCTTTGTCGGGGAGAGGATGGGAGCTGGGGCTCCGAGTTCCTGGCCCTGCCTTCTCCCGACCACGAGCCTCAGTCTCCTGTCCACGGAGCTGCGGTCGGGACAGGCTGTCCTCTGAAGCCCTCGCCAGGCTCACACGAGGACGTTCAGAGAGGGGCCACCTGGTGCTCTGCTTGGGAGGGGCCAGCACAGGCAGGGTTCTCCCCTGGGCCCCACAGATTCCAAGGAGTCTGGGGCCGTTGGGGTCAGGTGTGGTGATGGTTCTGTGACAGGCCGTAGCTCCCCCAGTTCCCTAGGGCGCCCTGACTGCCGCTCTAGGGAGAGGGCTTCTGTAGAACTCCCCTTTGCTTCAGAATGTGCTGGAAGGGGCCCGTGATCGTAGGTCAGGGAGCAGCCACGCTCCAGTCTCTCCTCTTTGGCAGATCTGGGCAGTTGCCCGCAGCCTTTGTCTGTCAGGTATAGGTGTGTAAGGGCCCTGCCTGAGCTGGGCAGTTGATGGAGTGAATGTCTCTCCAGGTGCAGTGTCAGTAAGAGACCTCAGTGAGGGTGCTGCCGCCTCCCCAGTCCCACAACACAGCCCACAGTACACCCCCGGGCGGTGCAGGGTCAGGGGGCTGGGGCAGCTGGTGGCCTGAGCGGGGATACAGTGGGATGAAGCCATAGTCGTCACAAGTGGAGGCCAAGCTGTCTGGTCAGTCCAGTGAGTTAGAACCGGGAGGCGTGGTGAGGAGCGGCAGGGGTGGGGACAGTGTGGGGTCCCCCGTCCTGGGGGGTCCTGGGCTGTGTGCCAGAGGGCGGAAGGCACAGCGTGGTGGCCAGAGCAGAGATTTGGGGTCCTGCCGCCTGGACGTGAGCTCCAGCTCAGCTCTGAGAGCTGTGGGGTGTCAGCCCGTGGACAATGCCCTGTGCCTCATTTTCTCCTATCTGCCCGGAGGTGAGCCTGCCAACCTGGGGACACCATGCGTGGCAAGCCTAGTGGCTCACACTCGGTGGACTCTAGCTGCGGTTTTTGTTTGCTTTCATTAGAGACTGTATTTCCCCTGAGCACTGAATTCCATCTTCGGGGTGGGTAGGCGCCACTGGGTTCTTAACCCCTGGGAGGAGGAGGCTCAGGACGGTTCTAGGTGGCTGAGCCAGGACCAGGGCCTTTCTGTGGTGCCTGGACACCGGGGCGCTCTGCCCGCCTGAGTTCTCTGTCCTGCCGAGTCAAGTAGGAGGAAACCAAGGCAGGTGCTGGCTGGGGCTTGGGGAGGGGTAGCAGATGCCTCCAGGCCACTTGGCGGGGAGCCGTCTGTCTGTCCTTCCCTCCCTGCCGGGGCTGGAGGCTGGCAGAGAGCAGAGGGCCTCTGAGAATCTGGGAATCCCCACGCTGCCGTCCACCTGCTGGAGTCAGCAGCCAGGGGCCCCAGTTTTCTCTGTAGAAGGGGCACCGGCACTGTCCCAGGCCGTGGGGACTCACACACTGCAGGTCCGGATTGTAAAAGGTATTCCTTTGGACCTGAGAACTTGGAAGTCTAGCCTGTCCTGTTCGTTTCTAGTGTCGGCTTTGAGCCCTGTCACCCTGAAGTGCTGTGTCTTCTTGAACCCATAAGAACTCTGCTCAGCAAAGCTCGTTTATTACGCTCACTGTGCAGTTGGAGAAATGAAAGCTCAGGTGTCGGATGGCTTTCCAGGAACTCAGTGCTGGTGGTGACAGCAGCGTCATTATGTAGCCGTGACAGTGATGATGGTGATACAGCCAGTGTTTATTCCGACGCTGTGACGAGGAACTGTCGCTGGCATGGTTGACAGATGACAGACCCTGTGTGACACCACAGGGTCACAGGGCCAGGGCTGATCCCACTTATGGTGGCTGAGCCCCGGTGCTGCCCTTCCCTACCCCATGCCACCCCCGAAAGTTTCAGGACAGTGCCCAGCCCAGGCCTGAACCATCCATCCCGGGGCCTCTGCGCCTCTAACGGCTGCCCGTGTGTTTCCTAGATCGTCCTGCTGAAGGACCAGAGGAAGTGCTTCAGCATCGACAACCTCGGCTACGAGCCTGAAGTGGTGGCGGTGCATCCCGGCGGCGAGACGGTGGCCATCGGGGGCGCGGTAAGGCCCTGCCTCACGCCCTCTGCCCTGGGGCAGTGGGAGGGCGTGGCAGCCAGCCGGGGCGCCTCCTGCTGCCTGAACGAGAATCCCCCCACACCCCTGGGTGATGCAGCGGCGTCCTGGGAGACCAAGGGTCCTGGCAGCGGGGTGGGCTGTGCTCGGGGACTCGGGCAGGGACGCTTGCCCTGGGCATTAGCCCTGTGAGCAGTTGGGAGCTCATGGGTGAGGCACCTGGGAAAAGAGCTGGCTCCAAGCTGGGCTCGTCCTCAGCCGGGCTCGGGGGCACAGGGAGGAGGGCGGCCTGAGAATCCTCGCACCTGGGAGGTGAGGTGTCAGCCTCAGGGTTTCCTGGTTTCGCTGGAGTCTGGCTTCCTGTCGCCCACGGTCCTGGGCAGCTCCTCTGTCACCTGCTCTTTCCTGTCTGGGTGTTTTTGACACACCTCCGCCTTCTAGAAGGCAGCTCTCAGCCAGGGCCCTGGGTGGGGGCTCAGGGTCAGATGTGGGGTTCCAGCCCTGTCCCCGCCGTACGGCCACACCCTGCCCGTTAGACCTTTGCTTTTCTTCTTAAAAAAGAGATAGAGATGGCCTGATGGTCCCTCGCCTCAGCCGGTGCCTCCAGGTATTGGCAGTTTCACCTTCCCGGGTGTCCTCAGCCCTGGGCCCGTGTGTCTTAGTCAGGCACACACATGCATGTCCGTGTTTACACCGCGTGTCCCCTTGTCCCACACACACCGGTCTCCACTTACTTTGTTGGCGTTACAGAGTTCCAGCAAGTAGCCGTCCCGTCACTCAGGCCACCTGATGGCAGATGTCTGTGCTCTGGGGCCTGGAGATGTCTCCTCTGCCGTCTGTGAGCACAGCCTTCTCCCCTCGAATGTTGTCCCCTCCTCACACGGCCTCAAGCCCAGACTCCTGCTGCGTGTGGCACTGAGTGGGCTTGTCACCGACCTCGAGGACTCTGCTCAGAGCCCCGGCCTGGGGCTGGCCTCACCGTTCCTCCAGTGTTAGAGGCGGGGCCCGAGCGCATCGAGATGCAGCCGGGGGACCTTGTGACTGTTGGGCATGCTGACAGCTCAGCTGCCCCCAGAGGGACCCACCCCGTCACCCCCGTTCCTTCTCAGTCACTCCACCTTCGTCAGTTCATGCAGTGTGTGTTAAACTTCCAGGCCCTGAGCAGGGCTCTGGGGGCAGAAAATCAAGGGGCTCCCTGCCCTGGAGGGGAGGTGCCCGAGGTGCGTCCATCTTAGTAGGGTTTCCCGAAGGTCAGCACAGATGCCGGAAGCCCCCTACGTGCTCCAGCTGAGGGGAGTCCAGCTCAGGCAACTGAACGTCCGTTGGGCATCCCTGACCCGAGGGCCCTGGGGCTGGGGACGGCCGGTGGGCTGAGGGCAGGCTCCTGAAAGAGCAGGGAGGCCTCCCAAGGAGAGGTGCCTGGACGCCACGAGGACGGGGTTTGCTAGGAGACGGGCTGCGCGGAGCAGAGAGAGGAGCCTGCTGCCTGAGGGGCCCTGCCGGGTTAGCGAAGGGTTGTGGGGCACAGGGCACAGGCGGAGGGGACGGCCACCTTAGGGGCCTTCCTGGAGAGCTCTCTTGTGAACAGATGCTTCTCAAAGTTTGCCTGTGAACACCTGCACTAGAACCTCCTGGAATATTTGTGGAAGACCCAGAGTCCTGATCACCCAGAGAGGCAGAATCAGAATTAGGGGTGCCTGGGACCCTGCATTTTAATGCAATTAATTTAAATATAATTTTAAAGCAATTGAACGTAGTGTACTGTAATTCTGCCCACATGCTAAGCCGTGAGGACTGCTGCAGGGCTGTAGGAGGTGCTCTCTGGTGCCGTGAGGAAGGAGGAGCCTCTCTCCTGGCACAGGGGCCGAGCAGGGACAGTGCTGGGGGAAGTACTGTTTATTTCTGGTACCCTGGACCCTCTCTCCAAAAAGAAGGATATCAGGAAGGTGTGTGTGTGCGTGTGTGCACGCACACCCGTCAGGCGAGTGACCCGCTGCCCCTGTGTCCTGCAGGATGGGAACGTCCGCCTGTACTCCATCCTGGGCACCACGCTGAAGGATGAGGGCAAGCTCCTGGAAGCCAAGGGCCCCGTGACCGATGTGGCGTATTCCAATGACGGCGCCTTCCTCGCCGTCTGCGATGCCAGCAAGGTGGTCACGGTCTTCAGCGTTGCTGATGGCTACTCGGTGAGTGGGCAGGTCACCCTCTGTCCCCACCCTGGGCATTGTAGGTGGCAGATGCACAGGACACATGCGGCTTTATTGCTCCAAGAATGTGAGTGATGAGGGCCCAGAAGACTCCCCGTCCGGCAGCCGGCGGGCTCCTCCATCCTCCAGGTAGAATAGTTGCCAAAAAGGGAGGGGCCTCGTTGGCCTGACCACGTGACTTTCCGGACCTGATTTTTCTCTTTGTCAAAGGGCTTAGACTAGATTTTTCCCAAGTCACATTGCTGTTAAAGTCCTGTAAACTGTGAGCACTCAGAGGTGGGTCCTGGGAGGAACAGCCTCAGAGGCCCTGGAAGCTCATCCCACTCCGAGCAGTATGGTGAGGGCGCTGGCATGTGAGGGGCAAGTGTCCCATGTCGGCACCAGGCACTCGTGCCAGGCAGCAGTAGCCCCGTTTCACCAATGAGACTGCACTCTGGAGGGACTTGGTCCCTGCTGGATGTGGGAGAGCTGGTGTGACACGAGACAGGTGGACAGTCCTCTAGTCCTTGGACACTTAGGACAGTTTGAAATTGACAGCAGAGTCAAAAGGATTTACCACGTGGATGCTACCTTGACCATTTACTATGTCACGTTATCCATCTAAGAATCTAATTTTGGGTGCATTTAAAGCCAATTATAGGCATCTGTACGTTTCTCCATTAACACTTCAGCTTACATATTATTAATTAGAGTTCGGTGGTTCCTTAGTTTTATCTTTGTCTATAAAGTTTACATAAAACGAAAGACAGACGTGGACGGAAGTATACACATCCCTGTGCCCGCACCTCCCGTCCACACCTCCATCATCATGAACCTCTGACCTCCCAGGAGATTCCCTTCCACCTCCGTAGCACAGTTCTCAAATTCTGCATTTATCACATTTTAAGTGATAAATGCATGTAACAGGCTGAGTAACCTGCAGGAGTAGAACAGGAGATGGAAGAGGCATATGTGAAAAAGAAAGTCGTGGTGAATCTAGGAATTAAGAACAAGACAAATGCTTTGCAGTAGAAGCGTTCCTAAAGCTTAAGTTAGAAAGTGTGACTTCTCCATACCCACCCCCTTTGGTAAGACGCTGCTTTGAGGCTGGGACACACCTTAGACACAGCCACGCATGGGGGCCGCCCCCCGTCTGCAGGCCCACCCCCAGGCTCCGGGGTGAGGAGGTGTGTGTCTGCGGGGAGAGGCGCCCACCTCCATCCCGCTCACACATGCACGGAGCGCCGTCCACGCCAGGCAGGACCTCCTTGCCTGCATTCCTGCGTTTCCATCTGTCCCCTTACTAGGCCCGGAGCTCCGCAGGCGAGCGGGCACGTGAAGCCCATGTGATACAGGCTGCGAGGGCAGCTCTGGGGGCCTGTGGGCTGCTGCTTGATCTCTGGTTGCACCTTTCTGTGCCTCCGCACAGCGGGCACCCGGGGGTGGTTACAATGAGCCAGTGAGGTGGTGAGGGTTTCAGGAGCCTGGCACAGAGTATTCCGTGCGTGCTGGCTCTCGTTACTGTCACCGGGAGGGTTAGAGGAGGTGACGCCCACTGACTCTGCCTGAACCCTGACCACCTGCCTGATTTCAACCCACATCCAGGAGAACAACGTCTTTTATGGACACCATGCAAAGATCGTCTGCCTGGCCTGGTCTCCAGACAACGAGCACTTTGCCTCAGGTGGCATGGACATGATGGTGTACGTGTGGACCCTCAGTGACCCTGAGACCAGGGTCAAGATCCAAGGTGAGTCGTGCGCCTGCCTCGGCTCCCCAGACAGCTCCAGAGTGGCGTTCTCAGGCCCCATGGTCCCTTCTGTGCTTTGCGGGGGTGGCTTCGTGGCGGCCTGGGTCTCCAGCAAACATCAGCTCTGCTGGTCCATGTGGATATGCAGAGGGACCGAGGGCGCCCGTGTGTCCAGCATGAGAGCAGGTGGTCTGCATACCCGGGGTACCCGCTGAGCAAAGGGCTTTTCCTGACACCGCCTTCTGCCTTAGTGTGTTCAGGCTCCTATCAAAATGCCCACACTGGGCAGCTCATAAAGCACAGAAATCTCCTTATGGATCTGGAGGCTAAAGTCAAGGATCTGGTTCCCGGATGGCCGGGGAGGGTCCCCTTCCAGGTCACAGACTTCTTAGCAAGTGTCCTCACATGATGGAAGGAGTCTCTATTATAAAAGCGCTAATCCCATTTGTCACCTAGGCTCGTCCCGAAGGCCCCACCTCCCACACCATTGCCGTGGACATTAGGTTTTCAATTTAGGAATTTCGGTGGGGACACCGACAGTCAGACCACAGCACTGCCCTTTCCCCACCCACCCCAGCCCCTCAGTCTAAACTCATGACCAGCTTCTCGGTCTCCAGGACAGCAGCTTCCCATAAAAGTATAACGTGACTATGTGTGGACTTGGCATTTTTCTAGCAGTTACGTTTTAAAAAGAAACCAGTGGAATTATTCTTAACAGTAAATTTTATTTAACTCAATATAGTATTTTCACATGTGACAGTAGCTCACTGCAAGGGCTCCGTGGCCACAGGTGGCTCGCGGCCCTGAGTGGGACCACACTCGTCCCCGGGTAGATCTCAGATCCTCCTGTCCCCGGGTTGCTGCCTACCACCCCACTACATGGGGTCCGGTCCCTTCTCATCCATTCTCTATCCGGCAGGCAGCCTTTTGTGTTAACCATAAATGGGATCCTATCCTATTTAAAAACAGTCCAGTGTCAGCCCTCCAGAGCGTTTTCCCGTGCATGCTGCAGAGGTAGGGGAGGGCCCAAGCGAGCTGGCACCATGCGGGCGGGCGGCCAGTTCAGGACAGAGGCGGGAGCAGAACAGACTCAGATGGGCCGTCCTGGTCTACGTGGAAAGCAGCAGTTTTGTGGTAAGACTTGAGCAAGTTCAAGGTGCAGCAAGAGTTCACAGGGCAGAGGGTGGGAAGTCCAGGCTGAGGGGTCACAGGTCACAGGACTGCACTGGCCTGAGGTTAGGGTGCTCTGTGCTTGGGACCCCCAGTCTTGTGTTTCTCAACATTTTATTCATTGTCGCCCCATTTTTTTTTACTGGAGGTCTGGGGACTGAGGACCTCGTGTGTGCTAAGCATGCACTCTGCCACTGAACTGTTACTCTCCCCACACCGTCGCCCCATTTTAATACATAGATATGCTGTGTCCTGTTCGTGCATTGTTCGTATGTTGTTGCTTTATGCATAGAAAGTTTTTTACTCTGGGGAGGGGAGGGGCAGTTCTGTCTCTGACGGTGCTGGTACCCGGGAGCTCCAGCCAGGATGCTGCTGGGACCAGAGTGTCACTGGTTCCAGAGCTGAGAACACCTGCTCCCGCCCCATCACCCAAACTCTCCCCACTGGGAAGAGGGATGGTATCTGGTTAACCAGGATCGTGTTTGGTTTCTTGGGGCCCTGCGGATGATCTGGCCCAGGGTGTCCCATCTTCCGATCCAAGGTGTCCCTAGGAGCAGAGTTTGTGGGTCCTGCCTAAAGCGCTTCCTTTCTCCCCAGATGCGCACCGCCTGCACCACGTCAGCAGCCTGGCCTGGCTGGACGAGCACACGCTGGTCACGACGTCCCACGACGCCTCTGTCAAAGAGTGGACAATCTCCTACTGAGGAGCCCTCCTCGAACTGACCGAATCAGGGACTCGAGTTGAACGCAGCTGAACAGTGACGCCTCTCTCTCTCTGTCCCGCCCCCGCCCCGCCCCCAGGGACGGGCCGGGCCTCGCCTTTGCGACCCGCCCCGGCCCCGCCCCCGGGAGGGACGGTCCTGG